AAGGAGGCACTTCATGGCTTCGATTTTTTAAGATGTTTATCATTAGTAGAAGTGTCATGATTAGAGACTGGATTATAGGCAAATGCCTATTTTCTTCCTTGCGTCCTTATCATGCCATTTTGATATATGAGCATGAATTAGAGGTTAAGAACGGCTTTTGTGGTGTTTTTATGGTGCCTATGAATGACTATTTTAGGTTTTCATGCCTAAATGCCTATAAGTGCATATAAATGCCTCTATTTCAAATAAGCACCTATATGAGCGCTATTTAAGCCCAAATTTTATTTTCGAGCGCTAGTTGAAACCCTTATTCATGTATAAAAGGCGACATTTACTTTATACAACGGAGCCCGAGGCAGGCGCCGGCATGTTGACAATCAACGGTGTATTTGGCATACATTCACCCTATGACTGAATACGCTTGTGCCGTATGACATCCCTTAGTACATGTCTTTAAGTGACAAAGATGATAAAGTACAGAACCGGGCTGCAAAGTTTGATGTAAGGCATTACTCAAAAAATGACAGCTGTACCAAATATGAAAAATAAACAAGGAAGGGAAGTGCTACCATCACGTCGAATTAATCTGCTGTTGAAGCTCCTATGTCTAACATTTTATGGGAAAACTCGCATTAGAAAATGATTGTACCTAAACAGTCCTCTTTGCGCAATGGTGAGTATTAAAATTGAAGATTGTAGTATCAGATCTAATTTTTATACACTTCGTTCTTTGTTAGTTTCCAGACTGAATTAAATGGCCTATAAAGTTAACAAGTGTGCCGTATCAATGAAGGCGTGATTTATTTGACATTGTAATGTGTTTTTCTCTTCAAGAGATCTAATAGTCATCGTACGTGATCCTAATATTTACCTCCAAAATTTATCGCACTGGTTAAGTGCAAATCAGCTACTTTTAAATACACAAAAAACTAAGTATATTACTTTTTTCTGCTATAAGTAAACCGGTCGAACGTCAAGATGCTATATCGTTCGAATCATAAGTGTTACAACAAGTTTCAGAATGTAAGTTTCTTGATGTCCATTTCCACGAATCCCTTCGGTGGACGTATCATGTAAATTATGTAAAACGTAGTATAGCCCAAACAATTGGCGCCCTAAACAAACTTCGTATGTTGTTACCCAAAAACATAAAACGAAAACTTTCCTTTGTACTGTTCACACAAGGCTACAGTATTGTATACTAGTTTGGGGCGCTACGTCAAAAACAAACATTCATGTTCTTTATTTAATGCAAGAACGTGGTTTACGATTCATTCACAACTTATCAAGTCGACAACATGTTTCTTCCTATTTTAAATATAGCTACATATTGACTATTAAGGACATATATAATCAACGCCTAGCCGAAACTGCCTTCCTGAACTTGAAATAAGACCCAGAAATATTTTTATCATTATACACTAATCCTGATCCAGATTATAGTCTCGCACTGCATTTAAAAAAATTCAGACTAGGACAGGATATGGCATACAACTGCTCCAATGGCAGATACCTACTCTTATGTACCCTTCTCTACATGATGTGATGCACAGCTGCTCTTCTTTGCTAGTCTTCCGGAAAAAAGTTAAAACAGCTTCTACTCGAGCAATAATGTCATGTTCTTCTGTCTTCTCTTTTGTAGTTCTATTATTGTGTGCGAATGTGTTTTTGTGTTTTTTTGTAAAAATGCTTTCGTGTTAAATGTCTGTAAAAAAAAACTTTTTTTGGTGTGTAACAAGAGTTATTTTATTACACATATTTATGCTTACAAAGTTTGACTACAGATTTCAGAAATGGAATACAAACTGTGTATGGTTTGCCTGATAGTGTTGTATGGTTGAACATACAATTGTAGAAGGTTTTTCAATTAGTTTCTAAGCTATTTGCATTTTGTATTAAAATGCTGCTTGTGTGATTGTGCTGCCTGGGACTAGGGGCCTAGTCAGGCAACTTTAAATGTTGCCGAAAGAGGTTGCCCAAGGCAGCCTCTTTTGTTGCCAAAAAAATAAACAATTCAATTCAACCTATCTGCTGCAGTGCCTTTGCATAAAAATTGTGATTTGCGTGCGGCTTTTGTTTTACTTGTAATTTACTTCTTTAAGCACCCTCTCTAGGTGACATAAGAAGTTGTAGTTAGACACTAGAACTTCTTGCGTGCCCAATGAAAAGCTTTCTACCACAGATTTTTCAAATTGATTCGCTACTAGCCACAAAACCATGATGCAAAGAGGCAAGCTTGAATTTCTTTGCTCTTGCCCCATGTAGCCATCGCGAGCCTAATCCCTTCCTTGCTATCTTCGGTATCAGGGCTGGAGGTTCACATGATGCAAACACACCAAGAACATGTGCAAGCAAGGTCGTGCGCACATGACATGCCCCAGCCTACTAGAGCACGCGCGCCATCGATGTTGTGCCACTTCAGCGGTCTCTGTTGTGTGTTACCCGTTTCTGTGGGATAGATCTGTCAGTGGGCGTACTTTTCGAGAGGCTGGGACGCATCATGTATTGTAACCGCGATACACGACGTTGCTCTGCTGAAACTGGGGTCAGAGACGACGCACAAAACACAAGCAAAGTGCTGTCAGGGTTGGCGAAGGCATGATGCAGGAATTAGAAGACAAACGCAAAAGAAATGTGGTAGTAGTGGTAGTATGTGTGGTCGGAATGCAGCCTGCAATATTTGGGTCATCAGAGGAGCACCCTATAGCCACTGGTCCACCGAGGCGGATGTGAAATGAGAACCAATTAGCCTCTGAAAATAAAAATAACAAGCTGGCATTCAGTTCGCACATTTTAAAATTTTTCACAGATCTAAATCATTATACTCATTTTGAAAAGGCAGCGCAAGGATTTGGGAAAAAGAAAGACATAGAGAGAAAGAACGCTGTATTTCTTTTCCCTTTGTCTTTGCGCTTCTCTTTCAAAATGATAGGAAGCAGCTAGCTCAAACCAAAGTACTCCTCATTTATGCTACACAACAGAATACACAAATCACACATGCCAACTAGAATAAATCATGTTCAAGGCTCTTAGTGTAGTAGCTTTTTAGAATGCAAAATATAATCTGGAAGTGGGACATTTTTCATCTTTTTTTAGCTATAGCCAGCATTTAACCAAGATCTGATGAAGATTGTATGGTGAGTGACATCAGAGCACCAATGTCAACATAAAGGAGCGACGTAATGTCAGGATCATTCCTTGCTCTACGTCCCTCCCTCCATCTTGGAAACGCATGCCCGCGAGAAGGTCAAGTGGCATTCAGTACAAATTTTGCGTATTTCTGTAACACCTGGCATTCCAAAATTTAACAGGCATGATCCTGAGTGCCCAGTACATTCATTACGCTTGTCAGCTTCAAATGCCCATACTTAGTGAGGAGCCCTGTAAGTTGTTCACCGACAGCAGAGAAATTACGCGATTAAACCTGGCATCCCTCTCTTCTGGGGTATCAGTGGTCTGGTTGTTTACTCCTGCGCTGCCTTTCCCAGCCAGGACGAAGGAAAAGAAACCCAGTAGAGTGGGGATTGATTGATATGTGGGGTTTAACGTCCCAAAACCACCATATGATTATGAGAGACGCCGTAGTGGAGGGCTCCGGAAATTTAGACCACCTGGGGTTCTTTAACGTGCACCCAAATCTGAGCACACGGGCCTACAACATTTCAGCCTAGTAGAGTGGGGATTGGACGATGGACACGACTCAAAATGCGGGACAATAAAATTAAAATCCGTAATCTGCAAATCGCGTGGGAAATGCATGCCTATGTTCAACCGTTAGTGCCTTTGTTCTGCCTTAAGCAAAACCATTTTTTTGCTTCTTATCGTAGATAGAAATCACCAGTCTTTGTTTTAAAATATTTCAATTTTCGTATAACTTGATTGTGCCTATATTTATGATATTGAAGGCCTAAAACCTGTCTTCTACCTGTATACCTGTCTTTGGCACCTAAAACACGCTTTTTTAGTGCCTAAACATCCGACCTCTAGTCATGATTACGTATGTTCCGGCACGTTCATCGGTAGAAGTCATCACACTCCAGTGTATTTATGTGTAGGGATCATGACATTTGCGCCGAAGTTGCAGTAATCATTGCATGGTCAACTGTTGATGCACTTATCTTAAAGGGACACTAAAGAGGAAAACAATTTTTCTCGTAATGCTAAGGCACAATGTCACAATTTCGAAAACAAAATTCTTACCACTGCACGATGCTTGGTAAGCGAGCAAATGCGCAAAAAGAAAACGAGACTGGAGCTAAAAAGAAAACGAGAGTGGAGCTGCTACTTCGAGAATACCGTAATAAACACCGTGACGTCATCGATTTTCAAGGAGTCTATTGGGCCCTATGTAGCTCCTAGATGAAAAAAAGTGAAGTACGTTGTGATCTGTGGGTGCCAGCGACCTAGCATACGAAGCTTCTGAAAATTTCATCGGTGAATGTCATGAAAATACGAAAAATAATTTTCAACCTTTTTGACATCAAGCGCATGCAGTACAGCGCACTATTTAAAACTGAAAAATAAAAAATGAAGCATTTCATCTGCTATTTATGAACTTACAGTAGTGAAACACATGGTATTACAGTTCTTAATGAAAACCACGTCATTTATTTGGTTTAGTATCTTCATAAAGGTACTAAATCGGAAGTTCTTTACGATAACATATGTCACTGGACATTAGAAAAGATAGAATATTTGAAACTTTTGAATATGTGGTCTTCGGCTCGAATACAAATGTATTACGATTGCAACATTTGATAAATATTCAAAATTACCACCTGTTTTGTGCACCTCACTCCTATGACATGTCCGAATAATGTATGAGCACGTCAGATGTCCTCTCGCACAGAGTATTGGCTTATTGCATTGGCATGTGCTGTTTCGTTGATCGTTGATTAGTTGTGTATCATGGCAGGCTGCAGGTTTTTCACTCTACCGACTCTTTGTGTGGCTTAAGTGATAAGTATCCATATTTACCTTGTTTTCATGCTGTGTTTCAGACTCCCATTCACGGAAAAGACTGTTGAATGTAGACAGCAGAGGTGGGATCAGGGACCAAAAATGGCACCTAGTGTGAACCAGCATTCAGTGCTTTACGCTGGAATGGAGCTGGACCTAAGTATGCAAGGCAGACAGCAGCCAGACAGGAGTGCACTTCGAAGCCCATTAGGGTGTCGTCCAAGAGGAAATGTGAGTGACACTTGCAGCACAGCCCAGCACAGCACCCAGGCACCAAAGAGGAAAGTTGCCAAAGTGAGCAGCCAGCAAGCCATTCTACAAGGCGTTCTTTCAAGTCAAAGCTCTAGGCAAGGACAGCTGGCATATTCAGCTGCTGGCAAGCCTCAACAGGGCCGCCAAGTAAATGTGGAGCTGAGGGGCCCTTCACAACTCATCTACACAGGGCCACAGCACACTGGGCAGAATGAAATGGCTTCCGTACAGCAAAGTGTCATGAGTTCGAGGCAGCGCGAAGAGCTTGCAAAGCAGATTGCTTGGATGAGTGCGAATGCCCATACTTTTCCAAGAAACTTGCAAGGCTCGGCAGGGCCTCCCGATTGGGTTAGAAGAACAGTGCTATCGGGTGATGCTTCAAGACCTGCTCATGCACAGAGTTTCTCACCACAGTCAGATTTACTGCAAGGATCTAGCAATGCACACGCACAACTCCAAGAGCGTGAGCCATGTTTACTGCAGCAGCATGAGCGAGGACAACAGTATGCAGCTAATACTAATGCATCAAGTTTTCTACCTTCACCGTCGGCAAGTTATGGTTTCCGAGCCGTTCCCATGGACACTGCATTGATTGAAGTAGAAAAAGAAGTACTAGACCGGCTACAGATGCAAAGTTATCTCGACCAGATCGTGCACAAAGTAAAAGCTGGAAAAGCAGCTCCTGTCCAACAGCCAGGACACTCTGAGGCACTGAAACAAAGGCAGCTGTCTCAAAGAGAACTGCTCTTGCGGCAGCAGATAAATAATGCTCTACATGCATTTGCAATAAGTGCACCCCAGAAGGCCCAGCAGTGGCACTTTCAAGCCTATCAATCCTACCAGCGACCGCTGCAGGACCCCACTGTAGAGCTCTCATGCGACTCTTCAGCACAGGCAAGGGTTGACAGGAACAACAGCAGTGCAGGCATTTCTGAAGAAAGCACTTCATCAGAATCCCCTGTAGGATTCGTGCGACCTTGGACTGCTCAGTCGAAACAGCCCAAGCCTTACTCAGCATGTCAGGATACGCTGCAGAGGTGGAAGAATCGGCAGTTGGATGGAGCGCCCAAATCGGGGTTGCCAGAGGATGCCGCAGAACAAATTCTAGACGAGTACAGAGTAGATGCAGACGCCCATCCTCGGCAGACCACGGAGGCACAAAACCATGTGTTCATGCACCAAGTTTTTCTGCCAGAGCCAAATAGAAACACCGCACATTGTGATATTTCTAATCACACACCGGTGCCTCATACATCTGTGTCAGGGCGAAAAAGGAACATTGGGGCACGATCCAAAGTTTCCTCTTCAGCACTAGTGCAACAAGAAGTTTCTGCGCCACAGCAAAGTCCTAACTCAATGGCAGGGTCTGGTGTACCTGGCAGGGCCTATAGAGAGCGAAGCACGTCAACATGGCATCCACCGACCTCCATTCATGATCCTCCTGCTTAAGCTGAAGTTTCCAGTAGCCATCTTTCAGAAGATGGTGGTGGCACTTCTCTTTGACTGCCAAGCCAGCAGATCTCAAGGGAAGGCTTAGTGCGCCAGCCTGTACCAGGACAACTCCCGAATTCAGGGCAAGGCATATTGCCACAGTGACTGCCTTCTGTGACAGTACACCGCACATTGTGATATTTCGAATCACATACCGGTGCCCCATACATCTGTATCAGGGCGAAAAAGGAACATTGGGGCACGACCCAAAGTTTCCTCTTCAGCACTAGTGCAACAAGAACTTTCTGCGCCACAGCAAAGTCCTAACTCAATGGCAGGGTCTGGTGTACCTGGCAGGGCCTATAGAGAGCGAACCACGTCAACATGGCATCCACCGACCTCCATTCATGATCCTCCTGCTTAAGCTGAAGTTTCCAGTAGCCATCTTGCAGAAGATGGTGGTGGCACTTCTCTTTGACTGCCAAGCCAGCAGATCTCAAGGGAAGGCTTAGTGTTCCAGCCCGTACCAGGACAACTCCCTTAGTGTTCCAGCCCGTACCAGGACAACTCCCGAATTCAGGGCAAGGCATATTGCCACAGTGACTGCCTTCTGTGACAGTAAAGCTTTGTGTTGGGCATTATGTGCAATAAGTGATGAGTGATCAGTACTTTAACTCTGGTAGTTGATCTGTTTGTGATACCTACGGTCAAGGCTTTCTCAAGAGAAGCAGATCAGCGGCATTTTTAGAAAAGTCCTCCAAGGTTGCAACACTTGTTGCAATTTGTGTGTTTGTAACATTGATGGGAAATTTGCATTTTTAGGCTACCATTCATCTCAATGTACACTTTGCATTTAAGTTATTTGCACCCAGAGGCCACTGTGCCAGAATTTTATAATACTCATTTCTGTTACTTCATTTGACAATTAAAAAAAAAAGACTTGTGCAAAGTGTAATTGTATCAATGTGCTCAGTGCAAAACTTACTAGTTGTTGAATTTATTTTTGTGTGTTCCTATACAAGACCCTTTTCTTCGCTTTGTTTGGTGCAAGAGTTTTGTGTTGCATTTATTGAAGTACTGTAATAGTGTACAGAAGTTGATGTTGAGTGTTAAAGTGAATGCCTACATAGAACTTAGAGATGTGACAGCCTGCCACATTTTTATTACTTAAATGTTTTAGGTCTGTGAAAGCAGAAGACAAGCTGGTTGAAAGGAAACGTGCCGAAATGTTATTGTCACCTTGTTTGAGTAAATTGTGACTAGTGAGTGATTTGGCTGCAGCACAAAATGTTTGTTACCTGTAGAAGTTACAGTTGTCACAAGCAAATGGAATTGTGCACAGATCACTCAGGAGTTGTTGATAGTAAATGTGTCACCTGCAGGTGGTACTGTAGATGTGCTAACAAGGTATATAATGCTGTACATGCCGCACAAAATGGCCTTGGGCATGAATATTTTTTTCCAGAATTCTCCAAAGGGTCCGATTGGGCTATATCGAAATTTATGCTTTACTAATCAGGCTTTCATGCTTCTAAGATTTGCACATCCTTTCATATATGTGGCTCCTTGGAAGATTTTGCAGCATGTGCACTTTATTTAGGCACTTAAAGTGACTGCTTTTGGGTTTGCAAATAAATTACATATTGCAGTTTAAGTGTCGTATGGATGCAGTGGCAGAAAAGCGGCAAATAATGTTTAAATTGAAATATATGCTGCTGGAAATCAAGCGCTTATCAAATTATTTTACAAGCCCTTTTCTTTCCTGAACGGGCACACAGGTTGTGCCTTGGCTAGAAGAAATCTAGCCTTGTTACTGTCGTGTACGCAGGGATAATTTTAGTTCCAGGTTAGCGATGTTCATGGCATGCTTAGTCTCTGATGTTATTGTGATTGCTTTCGAGCACAGTTAACGGAGTTCGAAAATGGAAGAAATGCAATGAGTCCCACGAGCCTGTGTGCTTTTTTGCTTAAAATTTACTGCGATGGGATGTGCATATGCAGTGAATTTGGCTACATTTGAAGATTCACGACCACTTGAGTCATCAAATGATTGAAGACCGCATGTCCATTGCCATGTGCACTAGCTGCTGAAGCACGAATAGATTTTGTAGCCTATGGAAAGTTGCCCAAAAGCTTCGGTATTCCACACCCTTCTGAAGTGTTTGATTCATTTCCTTTTTTGCTAGTCTTTCAAGAGCCATTTGCTTTCGGCTCAGCAAGTGGCAAAGGGTTTTGCCTTCAAACAGTAAACATTTATATTCATTCATTTTCTATAGCCCTGTAGTTGTTAATGTTGAAGTTTTATGCATATTTTTGTTCTGTGAATAGTGTCCTCATTGTTCTTGCCAGAGATTCTCATCATAAAATGTTTCCTCATTTCTCTTTGTCTCCTTAGCTCAGTGGGCATCAAGCCATATAAGATCATTATTGTTTGGATGTACATGTCATGTGGAAATAAACTGCTCGTTTCTGTTTGCAGTATTTTAGTGCATACTTTTTTGTGCTTCATGATTTTTTGTCCTCAATTTTCAAAATCGCACTGTGCAGTGCTTGTCCACATAGCTTCTTGATCTTACAACTGCTTCAATATAGTCTGTGGTGATGCGCTGTCAAACTTTTGGGCATAGCCGACATGTCATTCATTGTCACCACTGGTCAGACACAGCTGCATGCACAACTTCTTTGGCAATGGGGAGTGTTAAAGCAGGCAACGAAGCAGAATACACCACTCACCACACATATTCTCGAGGCATCGGGAAGGGCCAGTGCCGCTGCCACTTATGAAATAAAGGCAATAAACTATAGTTTATATTTTGTACAGAATTTCTTTGCTCATGCTTGATCAATCTGGGCATGCCAAAAATGGAGAAGAAACCTTCATGCATGAACTACCTCGAGGTTCTAAACAATGTATTGAATCGCTGCAAAGGTAGCTTTACCTGTTCACGCCCACCGGCCATGCCGACTGGTTCTTCTGCAATGAGTAATGGCATGATTTTGAGAAAACATTGTATTGAATCGCTGCAGGGGTAGTTTTACCGGCTTACGCACACCGGCCATGCCCACTAGTTCTGCAATGAGTAATGGCACAATTTTGAGGCACCCCAGAAGGAGGAGGAGGAGAAAAACTTTATTCAACAGAGGAGTTTGGAGCTCGCAGGCTCCCGGGCCCCCGCACGACCCCCTTGCGCTCAAGCGTTCATTTGGTGGTGGTCCATGACGCTGGCAGCCCGGTCGGCCGCCATGATCTGCTCAACCGGGTCCTCTGAGCACAGTAGGGTCTCCCAATCCTCCCAAGTCTTTAGGTGCTCTAGGGCCCGCGGGGGAGCATCCGCCGGGCAGTGAGAAAGGATGTGTATAGCAGAAGCATGAGGTTCAGGGCAAAGGGTACAGGCTGAGGTGAGGAAAAGGGGGTGATAGTGCGATAGAATGAGAGGAGAGGGAAGAGTGTGAGTTTGTAGCTGGCGCCAGAGGGTTGCCTGTCGGTTGCTCAGGGACTTGTGCCGTGGGGGATATAGCTGACGTGCTGCCCTATAGGCCTGAGTCAGCTCGTTGAAAGTGTGCGCGCGGTCCTTCGTGAATCCCAGATCGGAGGCCGCGGGAGCCCGGTTTAAAGAACCTCGGGCTAAGAGGTTGGCGGCCTCGTTTCCAGGATTCCCGCAGTGCGCGGGCACCCAAATCAACTCCACTTGACGGGGCGGGGTTGCAGCGGGCGAATCCAGTATGCAAAAAGCAGGGACGTGAACTCGGCCTCGTGCAAAATTCAAAATTGCGGTTTCGGAATCTGATAAGACGTACCGTGCTTCTGTGTTTACGATTGCTAAGGCAATGGTAGCTTCCTCTGCAGCTTCGGGGGACGTGTCTGGAGGGAGTGTGTGTGTACCTATGGGAGAGAGATTGTGATCCACCACGGCAGCGGCCGCTTCATCACCCATGCAGGCTGCGTCTACCCATAAGGCGTCTGGTTCGGCGCCGTAACATAGGTGTAGAGTTTTAGCGCGAGCTCTGCGACGTTTATCGTGGTGGTCGGGGTGCATGTCACGGGGAAGTGGTGTAATGAGGAGTTCGCGGTGCAGGGGTCTTGGTATGGGGAGTAATGTGGGATCATTGGCGGGTATCTGGATTCCAAGAGAATGTAGAATATGCCGACCAGTGTCGGTTTGTGTGAGATGAAGGTATTGTGCTTGGCGGTGCGCGTCTATAAGTTCCCCGATAGTGTTGTGAAGGCCTAACTTGAGAAGTCGATCGGTAGGTGTACTTATGGGAAGGTGGAGGGCTACTTTGTATGCCCGACGAATGAGGGCGTCCAATGTTTCAGTGTCGCGGCGAGAGAGTTGGAGGTAGGGGGTGCAGTAGAGCACACGGCTGAGTACAAAGGCATGAATAAGGCGACATAGGTCGCCCTCCTTCATGCCTCGGTAACGGCCTTTTTCGCTTCTATGATTCGCACTATCAAAACTCCCAGTGATGAAAATGCTGATCCAATTGCTCCAAACTGCTAACGAGAAATGCTGCTCAAACGATAGATTTTGTTTGTAATTGCTACGAAATGACACTGAGAGAAGGAAAATACAAGCTCTTGTATACTGTTTGACCGACTAGTAAGTCCTAAAGATACTGAAAATCTGTATACTATCATCCCAGTGTGTTGCTGGAGTGCAGCTTTAACGGCTCTGATCTTTTGTGTAACAAGGACTGGACATTAAGCGTATAGTTTATTTGGCCATTTTTTTATTTGCATCCAGACATGTAGGCGTTGGAATGGGAAAATGAGCAGCATTGCAATGGTTTCGAACCGATTATTTAGTGCTTATTTAGCAACAGTGGCAACAGTTATATAAATATAACTGCGGTTGCTTCAAAATTGTAGCACTGGGCTATTCTGGATTGGTTTGGTTTCTGTCAAAAACACTGGTATATTAAACTTTAACTCATTTTGGAACACATTTTAGAGAACCCACCATTGCTTGCGTCATAAAATTCATATTGGTTGTCTTTTTAAGTATGTTTCATAAGTAATATTTACGATATGCTTCAACAGCCCTCTAATGTACGGCAAAGTTATTATCCGCTTCTAAACCACTGATAGCTGCGATAAACTAGGATTTTTTGCAGCTCAAATATACTTGAGGCTGCTCCAAAACTACTTTTCCTGCTCTGAAGTATGCTCCATCAAGGCTGGGCTAGACGGCACCTCTGCGCTCGCTTCTTGCGGCTTTCGAATGGGATGTAGTACATGCCTCTCGTTACTTCTTTGAGCGACGGCGCCGCGATCCTAACCCTCTGCCTCTCCGTGCAGGGTGCGCGAGGCAGGCACATCGAGGCAGGCACATCGGGCGCGCTTTACTCTTTTTTTGCTTTATTGCCTGTTTATAGGCGCGTACATCAAACAAACGCGCTTTACTCGCCGCGCGTTGAAAAAAAAAGTGGCATAATCGTTGAAGACGCACAAGTGATTTATTTTGACTTCTTATAGGTGCACTTTGCATCGAGCTTGAGTTTAGCGAAAAACGTATAAATGCAAGAGCCGCAAGTACAGCTCTCCACCATCAAACATGTAGACATTTTAAGGTCTGGAAATATTTATCGCTCCTATAGGCGCGTTTAAACTAGAGCGATAGGACACTGACATAACCCCAATGA